CATTGTTAATTCCCTACCACTTTGTTTGTAACTGTATTGTCTGTACTGTGCTTGTGATGTTGTAAAATGTTGTATGTCTGTTAATGTTTCCCTCCTTTTATCTTTAGAATAAAATAAAATTTTTTAAAAAAAGCTTTTGAAGACACTAGTTCTGTGAGAACTAGTAAAGGTGACATGCATTCTAAATTCTTGGCAGAGAAATTATTGGGAGGTACTTTGACAGTTCAATAGATTCTCTAATTGAATATGCACCAGAATCATCTCTAAAATGTTTTTAAAAGGCAGATTTATGGATTTTTTTACCTCTGACATTCTGATTCAGTAAGTCAAGACTAGGTCCCAAGAATTTCTGTTGTTCTAATGTTTACTAAATTGTGAAGTCCATCCAGGTTTAGCATGCGGAGCATAAAATTGCTGAAGTCCTTGCCAAAAGAACCGTTCTTATGACTGTGTAGAATTCACAATGGATGTTAACTTATCAGAGGGCAAACTATTTCTTCAGCCCTAAGTGAAATTTAGCATTTCCTTCAACAACAAATGTGAGTAACGAAACCCAGAAGTATTAGCCATAACTGGGGCTTTGGTGCAACAAGACCTGTCACTATATTTTCCTGTTATATTAGCAAGATAGTTAAGACATATCACTTATATTACCATTAGCTGGAAATTATGGTACCTGTTGGAATTATTTGTAAGTCTAGTTGCTTAATACATTAATAGAGAAACAAAAATATTTGGTCATAAACTGTTGTTTTAATATTTGGGTAACTGCATTTTAATAGCATGAACATTTTTGTAGTCTTTTACCTTTTGTTTTATTTAAAAATTCTTTTCCTAGAAAGAAATCTGTAGCTTCACCAGGTGAGCAAAGAACTTGGTACCCAGCATAGGAGTGCTTTTGGGGCAAGTCTTCCGGATGCCAAGTGTCACAGTTGCCATAACTGAGACACACCTTTATTTAAGTGAAAGTAGAGAGGAAACACTATCTAAAACACAAATGAGATTGGATTTCACATCACCTAAGTATTTCTAACTGCTAACATCCTCCTCCACTCAGTTTGGCAGGGAATGTGTGTCACTGTGTGAGCCCTCCTGACAGCCTGAGGAGAACAGGTTTTGGGTACCAAGAGACACGCTGAGCAACGTGAGCACCCCCTGTCCCATTGCTCACATGCCTAGACCTACATGAGCTCACCCGGATGAAGCTTCCCTTTCTACTGCGGGTGGCTTGTAAAGCAAAGCAAAGCAAAGAAAGGCAAAAGAAAGTTTCCACTGTCAACTGAATTCAAAGGCACTGATTTATAAAAGCAAGTAAATATAACAGAATACACACCAGTCCACGCACACTTGACACACTCACAGAACAAGACTAAATATGAAGTTCTCAGAGAGAGGAACCTCATACTTTTTTCATCTCTCAAGACACTGTGCTTGAAGCACTGGCCCTAGCAGAATAAATACACCTTAAGTTTGCTTTGTTTTGTTTCATTTTGCTGCAAATAATGTTAATGAGCTAAAAAAAAAAAATAATACTCTGTGGAAATAAAGGAAGGTGTGTCCCAGGGAAGGCATGGTGGCTTTATTTCTGGAAAGCATCATGTCAGAGGGCATCTGTGGCAGGCACAGTGGTGGGCACCAGGCTTGCTCCCGAGGAGAGGTGAGCTCCTCTTCCCAGCTCCGCAACGCTGAGCAAACTGTAAACTGTCATGAGCCTCCATTTCTTTCATAAGTCGAGCCTGTGCCCACTTGAACTTTGGGAATGCTTGTGGAGATGAGATGAGATGTGGGTGGGGAGAAAGGATTCAGAAATCTTCTCAAAATAAACAAAATCAAGGCTCCTCAGAGGATAGGGGAGACTGATGGAGGGACGGCGGGAAGCATAGATGGCTAAATTTGTATAAGCCAAGCAAGTAGGTGTAAGGGTGTCATTGTAAGTCTTCCAATCTTCTTGCATTTAGAACCTTTCTAAATACAATGTTGGAGGCAAAATATATAGACTTTTCTTTAACAATGAGCGGCCTGTGGAAATGTCTCCCATGGTCACAAGCCCAGGAAATGTGGATTCCCTTATGCTCTGTGATGTAGTTGGAGTTCTGGATCCCGTTTAAGGTAGGCAGATTTGGGGAAATCCAAGCAATTCTGTTTCCAGTCAGTTTGAACTTGAGCAGTTTGGTTACCCTGCCTTTCCTCCTGTTGCTCAATGAGCCTGCCAGTTAGGGATAAGCAGGATGTATTTGGCACCCATGATTAGGGAGTTATAGTTATTACTATTCTTAATATCTGAGTTGAAGATACCTTCAAGCTCATCTAAACATGGGCTCAGAGAAGCCAAGTGATTTTGCCAGGGACACATGGTTTATTGTTCACAGAACTAAGATTTGTATTCAGGTCTTCTGTTTCCTGTACCTTGTATCATGCTTCTTCCCAAAGCTGGATCATTCCCTCATTTAAAATTACATAAACCACGTATAAGGCAATCAGCTGTCACCCATGACTGCTATGAACAAGAGCAACTTCCTGCAGGACCCAGCCCAGGAGTGGAACTGGACTTCACTCCTGTTGGATCTGCTACTCAGAACTTGGGTGTCTCAGATCTGTAGGGTCAAAGGCTCTGGAGCAAACAGAAGTCTTTCCAGGTATTGGACCTGAGGAGCCCTGAGGTTTTCTTGTTCAAGAACTGACACATGGCTATGGGGACTTCATGGTAGCATTTTTTTGTTGTTTTGTTTTGTGTGTGGGTTTTTTTTTTTTTTGCCCCATCTCATTTGACAAACCAGGACAAAGTAGTTCCCTTTCAGGATGTGACTGAGGCCCCAAGACCACCTGCTCCTGCAGATGTTTCCTCTTGTTGGCCTGGGAAACCACCAATTCTTACCAAATTTGCAGAAGAGAAAGCAGAGAACTCCCACCCTGTAGAAACCATGTGATATTTAGCAACTTTGCACCCTGGGCTCATGTTTATAGCAGACAGCTCTGTCCTCAGGACAGCTCCCTGTCTCTGCGCTGATCATGTGGAGACACTTTTCTGGCCTTGTCTAACATACACACACAGGGTGCTAGTGTTCAAGCATGCCGACCCACAAACACGCTCTTTGGTGCTCACTATGGGAATTCTGATGGCCTATAACTCTGGCCTCCTTATCAGCTGCCTTGAAAGTTGATTGTAGATCCTGAAAATCTAAGGCACCAAAACTCCTTCCCCCAACTGTTGCATGAGAAACAGAGGAATTTGAGGTCTGGATATAACTCACTTTATAAAAATGCTAAGCTACATAAGATTTTGAGGTCTTTCCTGCCACCTGAGAAATCTCTGTATGGGGATGGCACGTAGTCAGCAGACTGGATGGGTTTTGTTGTTAGTGTGTGATGTTGTTTGCATAACTCCATGTGTTTACTAAAAATCACCGAATCGCACATTCAAAATGAAAGCACTTATGACCTGTAAGTCAGTTTTCAGTAAAACTGTCAAACAAACTACACTCGATGGCAGACAGTTGATGACAGTCACGGGTTTTAAGAGGGAGCCCTGCTCTAGGGTGGCCCCCTGGCCCCACCCTGCTCACCACTGTCTGCTCTGGGGAAGCATCCTCTGCACACGCTGACCATCACCGTGTCCTCACAGCTGAGCTTTGCTTTGTGAGCACTTTTTGGCTAGTTAAATGTCACAGATGTGTGAGTTTTGTGTTATTTTTCCAAAGCACATTATTAGAAAATACTTTATGTATGATAAATCCGCAGAGCTGAAGTGAACTGTTTAATGGGTACACCAAGGAAATCCACACTCTACACAGGGTAGAAGAGCCCGTAGCTTGACAGAAACCCCTCCTCCCTTCTGAGCAGCACACCCAGTCCAGTCCCTCTCCTCATCATTGCCCAACTTCTGTTCTGATTTCTGTCACCGCAGGTTAGTTAGACCTGTTCCTTATCTTCATCACAAATCATCAGTGTGCATTCTTTCAAGTTGGATTTCCTTTACTCCACACATTTTTGAGATTTATGGGTTTTTGACTGTATCCATAGCTTATTCTCTGGATAAATATACAATTTGTTAATCTACTCACTGTTTGATGGACATTTCTGTGACTTCCAGTTTGAGGCCATGGCAGCTAAAAATGCAGTAAACATTCAGCACGGGCCTTTTTATTCACACGTATCTTCATTTTGGGCTGGTAAACACCCAGGAATGGAACTGTTTGTTCACAGTGTAGACACATGCTGTGCTGTGGAAGTGTTGTTCTTTTTATTTAGCTGCCTGCATGGAGGCACAGACACCCTGGATTCAGGAGCGTTCCTGAGGGATGGTGTCATCAAGCCTCAGGAGGAAGATGACATAGATGACATGTAACACAGAGATAACAGTGACTGGGAGAACAGCAGCAAGATGCTGGTGATAGCAGAGTCTGTCTTTACACAACTACTACGCACTTTGTGCATATTGCTTTGTTAAATCCTTACAATGCCCTGAGAGGTATTTAATTATATTTATTCTAAAGTTGAAGAAACGGAAGCTCCGAAACATGAATTAGCTTTCTTGAGGTCACTCAAACCCATATAGAATGCTACAACCCCTGATAAGGAGTTCTTCCTGTGGCCAGCATCTTGGACCTCTTTGTGTGATGCCACAGCAGGCTTCTGAGTGGCCGCCTTGCCTTGTAGTTAACTTTTTGTGTTCTTCTTGGTCCATCCTCCCTACAGCTGCTGACAGGTCTGAGGAACTGACCGGATGCTGCCGGCCGCCTGGGTCCCATCAGCTGCCAGTTGTCCTGTCCTCCTGTGCCCTTTGTCTCCAGCTCTTCTTGTCCCCTTCCTCATCCCTGCTGCTACTGCTCCCCCATCCCCACCATTCCATCACCAGTCCCCATTCTAACTCACCTAATGCCTGTAAGTGTGGATCCGCAAATCAATTTGTCTCAAAATTGGGAGAATCTTTCCTCGAGACTGCTTATTTGCTCTCCAAAATGTTTTGCTTTTGTGAATTGAGCCACAAAGTGTTTTATACTGTGAAAGTTTGATTCGAAGGCAGCATTTTGATCAAGTCACCCTGTAGCATAAAAAGTGTATTGCTGCTTCGTGCAGACTTGCTCTTTATGTGGCAAACTTTGATGGGAATTTCAAGATGAAAGACTCAATTTTTTATGGTTATATTTTACCTGCTTCCCTACAAATATGTAAATATAATTAGGATAGTTAACACACATCCTGAGCTTTGATTGTTTAGCATTAAACTCCTGCCCAATAACAATAGCTTACATTAGAGAGTGTCTGCCATTATTTCCATTATTTGTTAATTATCCTGCATAAAACCCTCTGCATTCAACCAAGCAGATAAAATTAGGAAACCTGGCTATGAAGTGGGACAGTTGTAAGTTCAGGACCTGGCACCTCTCTATGGTGTCAAATCCACCTCTGTGCAAATCCCACGTATTTCATCCTTCAAATATAATGAAAATCTCAAATGTCTTTTAAAAAAACTTAAAATAAATTTGCAGTAACAATTACCTTTTGAAGTATCTACGTAAGCTAGAACTAACATCTGCACTGCCTGTTAGCTCATGCTCACAGTAACTTCCTGGAAGCCTGAGACAGATCGGTTGCTGCGGAAATCATGGATGTGATACCAGTTTGGTGGAAAGTGGGTGCCCCCTTGTGGAACCCACAAACCAACATGAGGCCGATCTAATCAGAGGCCATTAAAGCAGTCTTGCAGAGTAGAAATACGAATGTGCTCACTAACCCTTACAAACGGATTGTAAAAGCAAATAAAATCTTAGCAGATTGTTCAACATAAAAATTTAGAATTTAAAAATGGTATCATCAAGGTGTAACATTGTTTTATATAAAAGAAAACAAAAGTTCACAGAAGTGAAGAGGAAGAATGTTTTCTGGTGTCTCTTATTTATAATGCTAGGTGACCAAAAAAATACAATGAATGTTTAAATTTTAAAATTATTATAATAAAAGACATATTGCCATGAACCCCCCTCAAAACTCTTCCCTCACTGTGAACACACTTATCTCATTATTCTGGTCTCTCTCTGAAGCAGTTCTGAAGTCTTCTTTCAAGAGTATCTTTAATCGTGCTGTTATGACTGTTTTAGTGTCCCAAACTGATTTAAAACATTGACCTTTCGTGGTCATTTTGACTTTGAGGAAGAGTCAGAAGTTTCACAGTACAACTGTTGAATAAGGCGGATGAAGACACACCGTGGTGTTTTTATGAGCCTGCCTTTCCACTGGATGTCATGCGACAGGGGCATTCACCATATTTTTCATCACACCTCAAAAAGACACATATGAAAGGAGACTTCCAGAACTGCTTCAGTAAGAGGCCAAGATGATGGGATGAGTGTGTTCATAGAGAGAGGGCAGATTCTGGGGGGCAGGAGCTCAGAGCAATATGTCTTTTACTTATAATAATTTTTTAGAAGTTAAACCACCACTGTATATTTTGATCACACCTTCTAAGTATACTAATTCTATTGGTTTAAGGCTCTAACCCTGTAACTTTATTTAACTGTATAGTTCCTTAGGGCCCCCCCCCCGCCCTCTCCAAGTATAACCACCCTGAGGGTTGTGACTTCAACACATGAATTTGGAGTGGGGACACAGAAGCTGGAACTGACAGCATAGGTCTTGAAAGAGATCAAGGGACAGAATTGTACCAGACACCCGGCTCCATTCTGGCTCCAGGACAAAACCAAAAGTTGGCTTAATCTGTCCCTAAGAGGTCTGCCACTTTTACTCACCAAACTATAGTATGATTACACTGTACCCTGGAAATTCCTGCATCCGTAAGGTCTTTGGCTGAAGGAAATTTCTGTGAGATGCCATCAGAGGGTGGAAGAATTGGGAGCCTTCTCTAACACATTCCTTTTTTAAAAAAACAAAATAACTCTGCATATTGTAACTCAGTAATTCCACTTCTCTGAATTTGTTCTAAGGCAATATTAAGGTCCTAACATTGCAAATGCAAGGATTTGCCCTTCCTGGAGCCCTGCCTTGGACAGATGTCTTCAGCATAGTCCCTAACAAAATTACAGACAGCACTGAAGTGGCTGTTGTTGAAAACTGCCAACACCGGGCAGCATTTACAAGCCAGGCTACAAGCCTCATGTAACTGATCTTCTTTTTTGGTAGAAAAGCAAGTATTGGGGAAAAGTCTAGAATACACATCTATGTGTAACAGTGAATATTTTAGGGAGTGGGGTTAAAGTAGGCATTTTCCTGCTCTGTCTTCTCATTTTCTGCATTTGACAACTATGGGTGGTAGATATTGAGAAACCTGAACACCATTGTTTAAAAAGCCAAGACAGCCAAGGACAGTAAGAAAGTTTTTGATAGGGCTCTGCACTAGTCAAGGCCTGTTGGGGAGGATTCGGCCCTGAAGGGCACTCTTCAGAAGGAAAATTTAGGAAAAAAAATTGTTAAAATTCCAACTCAGTGAGTCCTTGAAAGACCTCAGGGTCATGTTTGACTGGGTAAGTACTTATATTATCATAAAATGTGCATATTTAAATAACAAAAACAGAGTATGTCAACAGTGACATTCATGGTGTCCTTTTTTCTCTTCTTTATATTTTTTACAGTGTGAAGATGCTTTAACTTTTTTATAATTTAAATTTTTAAATTTTAAAAATATCCCACAACAGACATGCTTTCACAATGTCAGCCAGTACATGAAGAGATGACTCTCAGGCAAAGTTAAAGGGCTTGAGCAAAGGAAGGTCACAGCTGTTCTCCATTTGTAGGGGCCCCGTGCGTATGGGTGACCAGGTCCAAATGCTGGTCACTGTGTACGTGGCGAGCCCAATCATCTATCCCACTCTTGTTCCTTCCTGGTGTGCATGGCTTTGGATACTGAGCTGTAGAACGCGTACAACCAAATGAAACTGATGGTGAAGAACTGCTTTCCAAATTGAGAAAGACGCCTGTTTCTTCTTCAGGAGACAGCACAGAAGAAAAGAGTTGGTAGATAAAGCTGGGAAGCTGCTCTAAGCCCAAAGCTGACCATTTGTGGAGGACCACCTGGACGACTCTCCTTGAAAGAAGAGCAATTATCTCTACCTTGACTAAACCTGGCCCTATTTCCATGCATTGATATGTACAGAGCTGGCTAGGACTTTTCTTTATCCCTTCAATTGGCTTTAAGCAAAGAAAATCAGTCCAGCCAAGTTGCTAATGTGTAGTCTTTGAAGTAAGATGACAGGGCAGTGTTACCCTGCACCAATAGCTCCTTGAAAACAGGTGTGATCCAGGAGTGGGATAAATAGCCGCACTCCATGCTGTCAGCTGGGATTCAGCCTCGAGATAAGAGGCTATAACTTCCCAGGGCATACAAGATTACACAGCACAGCTGAAACACCAACCCCAAAACATTTGATACTATCTCACTTGTGTCATGCAGATTACTCTTTCTGCATATCCCTCTCTGCATATTGCAGAGGTGTTTTCAGGCCTCCTACCTTGCCAAGCTCACACTACTCACCTACTTCCCACAGTTCTCACAGTCACTCATCCTCAAGCCACTCCCTTCTTCACAAATTAATAAAACACAGGTTTGGCCTTGGGTTGAGGCCTTTGTTCTAGTGAGTCATTATCCTATCTGGATTTAGGACCCCCTTGGTTCCTCACAACTACAAATATGCCTTAGTGTCTTTTTTCTCACCATGGGTTGCACTGGAAGTGGTAGATTGGAATTAACCCACTAGAATTCCAGTAACTTTTCCATGAGATCACAGATATAAACTTCTCAGACTGGGATGAGGACTGGAAAGGGCTCTCCATAACCATCTATACTATGTTCTGGGACCTATCTGTGATCGCTCTCAGCATCCAGCCACAGAGATCATGAGCTCACTATTTGCTTAGGGATACGCGGTTGCTGGCAGAAATCTTCAAAAGATGTTATTTTCTTCTGCTTGGCTACTTGATGGTCCACACACAGAGCAGACAACAGGGCTCCTCTGAAAAAACCAATCCAGACTCGGGAGCTCTGGCTCATGCTCTGAGGCTGCCCTTTCCACAAGGACATCAAAAACCAAAATGTTATGAAATCTCTTAAATTATGAAACCTCTCAAATGTTCTTTCTCCATGAGGGAACAATAACAAGTCAGATTGTCACATAGCATCTAAGACATCACAAAGCCTTTCACCTGTACACTTTGACTTCTCTCAATCTCTCTCAATAAAAGAGGCAGAATAGGAGGCATTAGTCCATATTATAAAAGGAATCAAAATAGAGATTCAGCATTTTTCCCAATGTTATTGGATATATCATAGGAAGATGTACAATGTTATAGGGAGTGGCTGAAGCTGGAAGTCAATCACATGTGCTTGGCTAAGACAAAACCAGCCCCAAGGACATGGATTGCTCCTTGAGCCATGTGAACAAGCTGTTCCAGGGCTGGGGAGATAGTTCATTAGTAGAGCACTTGCGTAACAACTAGCTGTTCCAGCTTGCAAACAGGTTGCTTGCCAGAGAAGTTGAAATTGATATCAACCTCCTGAGTATATAAATAAATGTGCTGCATTCCTTGGGCAGTTCCTTTCCTCCCATCAGGAGAGAGGGCTCCACCTGACCTCAGCTTTTGTCTCTTATCTTTATTTCTTCATTCTCCCACCATTTTTTTCCAGGGAACATCAAGAACCATGCTGGTTTGTGGCAGAATGCGGTTCTTAATTTTTTTAAAGTCAACTTTGTGGGAGTGTAATTTGCAATTAAATTAGCCATTTCTAAGTGTATCATCCCATGGCTTCTGACAAGTTTATACAGTTGTGTAAGGACCAATGTCCCAATGAAGATGTGACATTTCCATCAGCCCTCAAAGTTTCTTTGTGTTGCAGTCCTATGTCTCCTTCCACCTTGAGCTTTTGCCATCCA